CTGCTGAACAAGGGGGAGTCCATAGACTCCAGTCTGATAGCTAGGAAACCAGCATAAGACTGAATGTGGTATTAGTCGAGAGGACTGGGCAGACTATGGGGACTCTGGTAACGGATCAGTATTTATTCCTAGTATATGAATGGACTCTGGGAGACCATCCCATATAGAGGAATGGAATACTCCCTCAACCTAGACACATGGGGGAGGGCCTGGGCTCTGCTCCAAATGATATGACAGACTTTGAAGACTCCCAATGGAAGGCCTTACCCTCCCTGGGGAGCAGAAAGGGAATGAGATGAGGGTTGGTGGGGGAACAGGGGAGGACAGGGATGCTGCAGGAACTGGGATTAATATGTAAAACAAGCTTGTTTCAAATTTTAATAAAAAAAGATAACAGTTTACTTCTGTTCATTTGAAGAGTTAAATTGTAAAGTTATACGTTACAAAATAAATTATACTTAGAATATAAGTGAATACAAACTAGTACTTAGTTGCTATATAATTAGGTGCCTCCAGACATTTTCAATGTCAAGGGATAATTTTAGGGAGTGCACAATTGCTGCACTATTAACCTGTGTATTTTAATTAGCCTTTTGAAGACAATTGTTAGGCAGTAAACATAAATCTTGATTTCTCATAAATTTAAAGAGAAATCACACCAAAAGAATGAGGCCACATTATAACTGAAATATCTTTATGATAAAAATACTTCTTTATTGAAAGTCAGACCATTTTACAGTTAAAATAATTATAGTAACTAAGTTCTAATTCCCACGTATGACATGGTGATGTCAGAATCCCATTTACCTTTTATTCATTAGTGATAATTTCAGAAGTTGCATCTCTGTCTCTGTGCTGAAATTTTACACTCTTTATTTCTCTTCAGTGTTGGTGTTCCTAATACCATTTCAATATCAAGAACAAGAACACCGTGGAAGGGCCTATGGGAATGCATTTAAAACTATTTTCCTAACACCTCTATATTCCCTTGTTTCTAATGTACACTGTTGAATAATGTCAGAATGCTTCTTGATAGCTACATTTCTGAGGCTCCAAACAAAAAGTAGACTCACTGAAATCATAAAGGTGTTTGTGAATTCTTTGGTGGCCAAATTGTGCCTGATGTGAACTGACAAGAAGCTGTTTATAAATAGTGTAAGCACAGCAAGCTGATTATATTTTTTCTATAGAAATAATAATGTTTAATACTTGCAGCTCAAGACTTAGCAGAAATTGTTTCTTTTGCATTTAGAGGATTTTGAATTCTGAAGGCACTGGCTTGGCCTCAGGCTTATGGACACAGGGTTAAGAATTTCCTTTTGTTCATAGTTCCATCCCGTTATAGAATGGTTTTGTCTTCCACTTGTGTGTCTGGAGCCAGTGAATCTATACTTTTTTATTACTTACCTTTGTGGACATATTATTCTAACATTTTCCTAGGGAAACAGCATTGACTTTAACCCCAGCATGTTCATACATTATTTTATCCATCTGAGTGTGCACCTATATTTCTTTTTTTTATTTTTTAATTTACATGTTGATCCCAGTTCCCCCTCCCTCCCTCTATCCTTCCCTCCCTCCCTCTTACCATCTCTGCCCCCTCACATGCATCCTGACCACCCTTTCTTTCTAATAAATGATTCTGGATGTACAGCAGGGATTAAACATGTTTATTTAAGCTCTCTCTCTCTCTTTCTCTCTGATGCATACTTTCTAAATCATTTATTTCTTCATCTTTATGAATTTCTGATTTCACTTCCCTTTCATGTTAGAGAGGCTTGTACTAATTTCCAGTCTCACTTGTAACTAAACTAATATTAAATGACAACCATAATACCTGTATAATTATCCAAACATCTAACTGCATGGTTCTGTCTTCATAGTCACCTTTTATGTAAAGGCTCAGGATTTTCTAAGTATATAGTGATTCTGTGACAGCAAAACCATTTAGCTCTGTGTCTTTCAAAGCCATTGGAATTAATTTTGCTATGAGTTCTTTCTCATGTATGAATTAGACATGAAATAATGACATGCAAATATGATAACATATCTTTCACCAAATGCCAAATGTTATTATCACCAGTATTATCAATATTGTGATGCTGCAGCCATGAAGAATGATTAAAAATTCTTTTAAATTAAAAGGCAATGCTATCCATGAACTATACTATGAATGAAAATGTGTCTGGGTGGATTTCTATGTTGGATTTACTAAGCATATGCAATGAAATTGAACAGTGACTTTTTTAAAATTGTGATTTGAAGGAAAATATTCTAAATCTTGACTGGGGAAATTGAATTAAACCTTATGAAGTTTTGTTTTAACTGACAGTCTCTAATAATAGATGAATTTTTAAGAACCAACCCTTAAAAAGCAAAATTGTTTAAAATAAAAGCAATGTTGATAAATTGGAGAATCTAGTGTTAATCATTATGTCTTCTCAAAGCCCTTTTTGTCTACTGCCTCTAGGTTGCTTATGTTAAAGAGTTTTCCTAAGCAGAATATATTTTCCTATCAATGATTAATCTCTCTATGGTAATATTCGATCATTTGCTAACCCAGACTACATATTACTAGGGAAAATTATCATATTTTCTCTCATTTATTCTTAGGTGAAACATACATAGTAGTTTATAAAGTCTAGACCAAAAAATGTTTGCATTGTGATGAAGAGCTACTATGCATTAGATTATATGGTTATGGATTCAAAGTGAAAGGCAAGGTCTTAGTGTTTGTCAGAATTCTGTTAATCTCCTTCAGTTACCCATCAAGGAATGCTTCTGAATTTTCCCAAGTTTGAAATGGTATGTGATATGCAAACTAATGTAATTTAAAATTGTATTTTCACATTCAATATTTGTATTTTAAAGAAAAAGTATATCTAAAATATTCATATTTTATTATTTAAAGTTGAGGAAGTACATTAAGAGCACTCAAAAAACGTCTTATAATATTTTTACACCTAATAATATATCTACAGGTAATGATGATAGTAAATGTAAATTGATTTTTTGCTCAATGATTCTTGTGATTCTTGCATAGGAAACCTGTGACCTATGTTGAATAAACATGTTACTTTGTGATGTAACTCAGAATATGAGAGTTTGTTTTTAATCTCTTGATTCTAGATTTCTCTTGAAAACCTTCAGTGTGTATAGCAGTGTCACAGTTTTACTGGTGCTCAGATGCAGAGCTGTGTTAAAACATAGGTTACCTGCTGTGATTTTTGCCCTAATTCTAAAGTACCTAATTGTGTCCTTCCAATGATTTCACCAGCAACTTGATGCTTCAAAAAACAATATACTAGTTTCTGCCATCATATAGTTAGAAACATATTGCTTATTCATACTTTAAGGTTTTGTTTCAATAGTAAGTTTCTTTTGTTTACTATAGGGTTCACTTTGAATACTCAAATACTTTTAGCTAATCCATAATAAAATAAGAGCTACTATATATCAGGTATGGGGAATATTTTTCTGCTAAATATTAGAAGAGTTTCAGTGATCTTGTGATGAGTGACTTGTAAGGGTAGTACTAAAATTTTATTAAGTAAGGAATATTGAGTTATTTTCTATATAAAGGCTGGAAATTCTTTAAACCAGTTTACTTACAAGTCACTATCTATAGTTACAAAAATTAAATTTATCTAAGAAAATCAACACTGGCCATTGCCAAAATTGTGATTCTTTCTAAAAAGATTAGAAATATAAACATGCATCAGACAGAGTAAATTTTAGCAACAGATTTGCATGACTCATTTTTACATCAGAATGCAAGTGTTCACATGTTTTAAGAGATAAGTCCACAAGGCACACTTATGCAACCAAAGCTATATTGCTAGATTTTGCTGTTCTTTATTTTTTGAGAATCTTTTTATTCATGTGTATGTGTGTTGAAACTTCTAGAACTGTAGTTATAGGTGGTAAAGTACAGGGAATGCATTGTGCCAACTGGATGTGGCTGCCCTAGAAGAACAGCAGGCACTCTTAATGGTTAGCCACTTTTCGGGCCCCTGCAATGATTTCATTAAATTCTGGTGAGAAGGATCCCCCTATTAACAACTTAACCAGGTTTGAAAACTTGGATAAGACCTTAACTGCTTCTAAGCTGAATTAAAAACTCATTTAATTTTAGAAAGGTTTCTCTTCAGCAAAAATAGGAAGGAAAATAAATACAAGTTGAAAGTGGTAACCAGCCAAATTGAGCTTGAAAACTGTTACCAGCCAAAAGTTTCAGTAATCTAGATAGTCATGTGTTGATGTGCTAAATGTTAATTTTTCAATATATGCTTCATTTTTAATTATTGTTTTTATAAATAATTAATGATCTTATAGAGAATTATTTTAGGTCTTTTGGCACATATTATATTTTGATACCAGCAATAAAAGTCTAAACTTAACTTGTGACAATTGCTTGTCACAAATTGCTTGTGACAAATCCTCCACTGTCCTGGAGGATTATGGAAGGGTTTTGAACACCATCAAAGTCACTGTGTTGTCCAGTGTGCAACATTCATCATTCACCATTCATATCATCATTTGGTGCTCCTTCCTATCTGTTGAATCATGCCGCTTTGTAACCACCAATTTTTGTTGAAGCACAAATCAGGGACCTTTTTCATGTTATTGCTTTTTACATAGTGCCTGAATTGGAGCACAGAAAAGAGCAATCCCTGATGAACTGATTACTTCAATGCTAAGCATGTGGTACAAAGAATCCTGCTTGATAAGGAGGTGACTTCATAATGTGTGTGTTCTAATTTTCTCAGATTTCCTACCAAATTTGAGTTCATTCATTTTTACTATATTTTTATCTTCTTTATTTTAGTTTATATTATTTTTGGTCTCCTCAAACACTCAACATAGATCAACCTTATTTTTACAATTAGAGTCTTTAATTTTGACTTACTTTGCATTTCTGTTCATATATTTTATTCATTTCTCCCCCACATTTAATTAATAATAATGCTGATGTCATTTGCTCCAAAACATGTGTTTTATTTCCAGGGCACAGCTAATGGAAATGTTCCTGTATCTTCTCGCAGGCAATTATGTGAGTGTCTAACTTCAGCTCTGTGTTGTAAACATGGCTCTGTGTCCTGTGCTGTGTAGCATGGCATGCTTACTGAGACCAGTGCCCACAGGTCAATATGCAATGTGTAGTGTTGTATATTACCTATGATGTATTTGTAGCAGATGGTTCTCCCGCTTCTTCCTTACCTGTTTGTCATTATCAATCTCATTTAAGAAAACCCACATTGCAATACAGCCAACTACACTAAAACTTCAGTAATGACTCAAAGTCTGGGGCACAGAAAGCAGTTGATCTAATACAATTATTTTTATTTGGCAACAATAATAACACTTTCTCTGTCAGCGAATCATAGGCTTTCATACACCATAATTTTCTTCTTCTCCTTCTTCTTCTTCTTCTTCTTCTTCTTCTTCTTCTTCTTCTTCTTCTTCTTCTTCTTCTTCTTCTTCTTCTTTCTCTCTCTCTTTCTTTCTTTCTTTCTTTCTTTCTTTCTATTCAGAGGTTTTCGTACCACATAATTTGTGGTTTGGCCCAAGCTTGAAAGATCCTTCCTAGTGTGTTCACTAAAAGACACCTTCTTTCTAATTAATTTAGAGCAAAATGCCTTTTAAAATGTTTTGTCTTATTTCTAAATTATCACATTTAGATAATTAAAATTAATCTATAAAAACATAGCTAAAACACCCAAATGTTTGCAACCTTCCACTGCAGTTATCATAAACTTGATGGCAGTGCTATGTCTCTGGCAGAGTGTCTACATTAGTGTGTCACTGAGAGATGTCCCTTAAATTTGCCAGCAGACTTTGAGAAACAGCTGCTCATATCACCATCCCATCAATGTCCTTTCCTCCTACCTAGCTTGGTCATCTGCCTCCATTATCAACCGCTTTGAGCTACAAACCTTCATGAATCTAATTGTCTCTAACCATAACTGCCAATGCATTTTTAAAAAATATGATGCTTGGGGTATTGAAAGGCCCAGTCCACTTTCTGCAATGTTAATTTTGATTATCTTTGGTTAAAAACATCATTTGATGACATTTACAGAGGAAGATTTGTGAATTAATAATAGAACACTATACACTGTGGTTTTAATAAAGTGGTCAAAACAGCAAATAAAACCATACATTTATTATTTCCTTCATCATAAATTAATTTTGGATGTTTGAAGTTTATAAATAAAGTTAAAGTCAAAAGGAACTGCTAGAACGAATGACATACAGTTATAAAATTTGGCTGAAAGTTACTGGTCATCCCAGATCGTAAATTATACTTTTCCCTCTACTCGTCTATTATCCCAATTTCTAATGTTATTAGATACTACTTATTTTATCTCCTCATTTTTGCAGTAGTAATTGATAAAGTTGAAACCTAAGGCAAGAAATTCCAGAATATGAGATGTATTTTGACTTAGGTTTGCTTTGTTAAGAAGGAGCAAATCTCTACACTTTACATGAGTTGAGCACTAAGCATGGAAGATGCTGTAACAATAGGGCCTGAACTGGCAGAAATCAGTTATCACTTCTTAGTTTCACAAAATAAAAGATCATAACAAGAACATATTCACATAGCTTTGATTTTACATCATTGGCTCTTGTTAAGTGAGATTTCAACTTACTAAAATCTGAAAGGAAAGAAGAGTATGCACTGTATCTCTAAGGCTGAGGATTCTTAGTTATACACAGTATCTGTAGGCAGCACCTTTGAAATAAAACTTACCTCATATATATGGGGTCTTGAACAGTGAGATTATTAAGCTCTTTGATTTAGAGGGCTGCTGATTCTATGTTGTCTTAATTAAGTGTGAGTCCTCAGATCTCTGCCTCCTAGCAGTGCAGATCAGTGGTGTCTCACTCAGCAGATGTAACTGTGCTGATGTTTCAAAACATTGTGTAGCAATGGGCAGTGTATAGTACAAATGAACACATGCACTGACATTCACAGATTCCTTCCTTCATTCACTAAGGCATGAGCCCAGCTAGACCTCTTTCAAATGGATCTTGACTCACTATGTCACATCATCGACCAAATCAGAAAGGAGCACAGATGACACTTTGTGTAGTTTTTGTTTTATTGGATATTAAAAAGCTTATTTAATTATGATTGTTAATTGTGATATTGTACCCAATCAAACAGTGTTTTACAGCCTGACTCACAATCTTGTGAAGATTGGCAGATTAGGTGATTATAGAAGGCATGAAACTAAAGTGAGAGAATTTATGGCTCCATCTTCAGAGGCTATGTTAGTTTGGTTAATATGCCTACTTATTTATATCTGCAGTGAATATTACACATTAAAGTTAAACATAAAAGAAACAGTATTGCTTAATGATTTTTAACGCCAGAGAAAAGTCTTGAATGATCATATCAGAAGGATGAGTCTTGGAAAACTTTTTAAATGTTTGTAAAGAGTATACTTTCAAAATATTAAAAGCTTAAATACTTTGTTAAAATGATTAATAAGGTTGTTGAGAAGGGACTCCTGGAACTACATTGTTGAAGATGGGATCAAATCAAACCATACAAGAAAGGCACAAACCCTATCCAAGTGCTCTTTTGCCCTTAGTATACACATAGAACAGAAGCCTAAAATGTAGGGGCAGCACACAATGTAACTCTTAAGGTCTGTGTAAAGGTTACTTGAGCTTAAAAGTAGGAGAGTGAAGGGGATTTTTATGCTTGATGGGAAAGACAAGAATACTTGATGGATCCCAATATACTACAGAGCTTTGGGCAGGTCTCACCTGAGACAGTGAGGGTTTTGCTGTGGGACAAAGATCTCATCAAGAGAGACTATTGTTCCTATTGTGTTCCACAAGTTAATTTCTTTTGAGTTTCAAGTAATTCTGGAATTTGGGTGTGAAAATTATAAAACCACAGACAGACTTTGTAAGAGACTAAGAACAAATCAATGTCCTACAGCAAAAAAGCATTTGCAATGAAAATGCTGAGGTCAACTAGCTCTGTTGGAACGAAGACTGAGTTCGAGACAATGGAAGTCAAGATAGTATACTGCAGTGATCAAATCAACTCTTCCATCTGTTATCCAAATCATCACACTGAATTTCCACACATGACATGTTTGTTTAAGTCTCTCTTGTCCTGAACACCATACCTGACTTTTCCATGAAGTTCTGAACCACATGGAAAAGTGACAGGGGGAAAAGGCAAAACATAATATTCTGTCAAGTGATAGAGCAATCAATACAGACAAAAAGTGGCATTGTGTAGATATTAGAAATATGAGAAGGGAGAGTTAAAATAGACATAATTGTGTTTAATACGTTAATGGAAATGTTTGAGAGGGAGGACCAGATATCCACTTTCAAGAGAGCACGGTGTAGAACAGATTCAAAAGGAAACCACAGACTTTACATTTTCAGTAGCAAACAGGATGAACGTGTGTGGCCGGCAACATTATCGACAAATCATAGTCATGGAAAGAATTATGAATCTGCATATGGTCGACAGAAATTACCAAGCTGAAACACAAAGGGAAAAGAGTGGAGTAGGCTTTGATAGCCAAAGGAAATCAAAGGGCTTCGTAAGCTAATCACATGTTTTGCTTTACTTATATTGTGTCTTAGTGATCACACAGAAAGTGTAGAAGAAACAACTGAGAAATAATAGCCACAAATTCTGAAATGACAAAACAAACCAAATTATAGATCCAAGAAGATTAACCAGAAAACAAAACAAAACAAAAACCATAACCTGGGAAATCATACCAAAATTGCTGAAAATCAGAGTAGGAGAGGCTTGTAGGGAGACCCTGAGTGGTGATGAAATCCTGCATATAGAAAAATAAAAAAAGATAACAGAAGTCTTTTGTGGAAGTCTTTAATGAATACTTGACCATTGGGTTAAATTCTTTTACTGATAAGTTCCTAGTAAATCAATCATATCCATAGTATATGTGATATTCATTTATCCTATCTCTTCAGTATTGCTTGTGGATACTTGTTTGTGTGTATATTGGGGCATCCTTTATCAACTGGGTAAAACAATGGAAGTTGAGATTGTGAGCCAACATGCTACTCACAACAGAAAGGAATTAGCACTATTAAACAATGCACAACTCATATATATATATATATATATATATATATATATTTTACTACCATGATCTAACCATTTTCATTTACCCCAAATTAGCATAATAATTTTTTAATCAAGCACATTAAGATGTTGGCACTGATTTTCACTCGTCAAATGCAATAACTAAGTGTTCATTAATCAAGAGAATTGCCTATTGTGAAGTTATTCTTAAGCAGAATAATACTTGATATTGGCAAATTGGAGAAACAATTGTAGTAGAAAAGTGAGAGAATGAATTGCATAACAGTGTGTTTGCACAGTAGTATTATTTCCTTTAGGCATAGGAAAATATCAGTTTACTTGTTTTGAGTCATAAAATAATTCTCAGTAAGTATTGATGTGATTTTTTTGTTTTAATAAGCTTTATATTATTAAGATATATATTGAATTTATATGATTATTATAGTTGTACATTTTTTATTATTATAGTGAAATACTAGAAGCAGGTCACACTGTGAATAAATAAGTATGTTTATCATGTTTATCTCAGATTTACAGAGGTTCAAGTGCTCACATTTGGTGTTAGCCTTCTTTGTAATAGCCCTGGTGTGACACAGGATATCACACTACAAATGATAGGAAACATAACATCATTTTCTCCTTATTTTTTAAATTACATTTGAGAATTTCTTATTATTTATTTTTGATATATTTATTATTTTTTCTCATTTTACATATCGATCCAAGTTCCTTCTCCAACCCTCACATACCCTCCAAGACCCCCCCCCCCCCATTTCATTCCCTTCACAGGGGGAATGATGCCTTCACTCCACAGGGAGGGTGATGCCTTCCAGGAGAGATCATCAAAATCTGTCAAGTCATTTGGAGTAGGACTAGGCCCTCCCTCCTGCCTTTAGTCTAAGGGATCATCCTTCCATGGGGAGTGTGCTCCTAAAGTCCTTTGGTGCACCAGAGATATA